AAAAAAAATTAACTTTTACTTTTAGATATTTTTGTACAACCTTAAATAAATAGCCTAAAATGAGCAGGAGAGCCCTACTTCACCTGCCATCTATATATTTATTTATATTTATATAAAAAAAATTAACATTTACTTTTAGAAATTTTTGTACAACTTCAAATGAATAGCCTAAAATGAGTTTTTGTTCATACTCAACATAGGTCTTTATACAAATTTAAAAAAAATAAAATAAAATAAAAACTAATTCATATTCATATCTAATTACTATTACAAATACATTATCTACGTATTTTTTTTAAAGCTAATTTTATGGTAACAACGTGTAGTAGATGTTAAATTAGACTTATAATATTTTAAATACTAATTGCTTAGACATTTTTTTTTTACATATTCGTCTATATATACATGTGTATGCACATATACATAATTTATAGTAAATTTATATATTTATAGATATTTTTCTTCACAAAATAGTTTAGAAAAATCTTTTACACATATTAAATTTAAATATTTTTAGATATGTTTTCTCTCCAAAATAGTTTATAAAGGTTGTAGGTTACTTCACATATTTCAAAAATAATATAGAAAGTTTTAAATACTTTTACATATATTAATATAATATTTGTATTTTTAATATTTAACCTAAAAATTTTATATTCTCTTATACAAGATAATTTTACATTGTTTGACCTAAATCTTTAATTATAATTATTAAGTATTTTTTATCCTTTTTTTTTTTAATTTATAATTATTTTTTCTTCCTCTTTCTAAATATGATCAATAGTAGTTTCCACTTCCGCCATTCAGTAATTCAAACTCGAGACCTATTTACAATATTATTATTTAATATTGTTTTTCGTGCATCGCACGGGCTACATACTAGCATATTACGAAAAGACGTCATCCTAGTTGCGCGGCTTGATGTTGAAAATGACATGAAAATATTATTTATTATATTTAAAATATTTTTTTAAATATATTAGTAGTGGCTAAATTGATTTTCATTATCTTCATAAATAAATCATCGAACGACAAGTATCGTGACTCTAGAAACAACAAAATGTAACTGATTTTGATTACCACCATATAATTTTTTCGTTAAGTTTTCAAACTAAATAAATTTTACTTAAAATATTATTACTGATATTTGATGAAAAAATGGTATTTATCACATTAATTACACCTCTTGAAAATTTTTCTAACATATTTTTCACTAATTAATGTTAGTGATGTCACCCGAGGGGAGCCCATACTTCAATTAATAGATTTAACAAAAAATAAAAAATGGAGGCCTTACAATTTTTTGAAATTAATTAACTTTAATTTAAAATCCCTTCTCAAAGTTAGTATAATTTAAATGAGAATTTTTAAACCTATGCAATTCTAAATTAATTTTGTGCATAAAACAATAATTAATTAACATGCATAAATATTCATTCAAACAAACTAATCTCATGGATAAAACAATAATTAATTTCCATGCATAAATAAATAATTACTTGGCATGATATATTTAAATAAATTAATATACTATTATGATTATTAATTATTGAGTCTTTCTTAAAAAAAAAAAACCTATCAGATTCTTTCATAGTCCAATTGGAACTTCCACTGCAGTAGAATTCTTGTAAATATTGTATTGTTTGTTCCGCAAGATAAACACTTGTCCACTAGCCGCCGCCGCTGTTCGCCGGAGAAAATCGCGGCGATATTTTTTTTTAGTTGCGCCTCGCGCGAAACGCTGACTGGGCCTTCGAAGCCCGCGATCGCCGCGATCCACCCCCGCCTGCTCGCCCGCGGCTCCGACAACGAAACTACCAGCCGCGCAAGCCGCGATGGTCCCGCCGACGATTATCTGGGCCCGACTCTGATCGAGTCTTCGAGGTTCATCGATCCCGTCATCAACACACAATCACAACACGAAAAACATAATATACACAATTACATAATTCGATCCTAGATATTACTAATTGATGTACATGTTCATCTAAACAAATAAAAAATATCCGGTGAACCCCTAGGCAAATAATTATTACAAACTTTCATCCATTAAATTCCTCGACTGTCTGAGACTTTAAATCCAAATTAAGAACATTCATCACATTCATCAAACATATATACGACCATAATATTGGATTATATTAATTCCTACAAAACCGAGTTATGCGAATATAATCCAATATATATGGCTGCGTTTGAACACATATTTTCAAATAAAACCGTAAAAATTTAAATTTTGTACAAAATAAATTAACCAAATGCTCTGATACCACTTGTTGGGATCTATGAGGATCGCGTTATGTTCAAGTCAAAAATTCAATAGCAAACGTAAACCTATGCACAATAGAATTAATGTTTTATGTAGAAAACTTACGGCTTAAAAGTTTCTGAATCTGACGGATTCGAGATGACTGGGAGCAACACGTCTCGGGGTGTCCAGAATCGCGTGAGTGGCCGGTATCGCGGCATCACGGTGGTGCTGCAGTGGCAACCACATTGACGTTCTCGGGCGTCGGCGGTGGCAGTTTTCTCGGTGGATGCGGTTGTTCTGGGTGGAGTGGCCGGTGGCAAGCGTCGTGCGTGGGTGTGTGTGTGTGAAATGTGTGTGAAGAGTGTGTATGTGTCTCTTTGTGTCTGTTAATGTGTTATGTGTTGAGTTGTGTGTGTGTGTGCGTGTGTTAGACGTGTGTGTGCGTGTGCTTGTGTGTGTGTTAGGTGTTTGGGTGGTGACATGGTATGGTGATGTGGGCAGTGATGTGTTATGTTAATGTTAAAATTACCCTTACTGATAGTATAATTTTGACTTTTTTTACCATTAGATCATTCGATTTAATGGCTATAATTTATTCTTATTTCTTTCATTAAACATCATTTTTACGTGAACCTAACCCTATATTAATAATTTACCCTAAAAACACTTCAAATTGGATACGAAAAACATAAACAATAATTTTGTAACTATAACCTTTCTTTTTTAATTATAATAATTTTTTGAAAACGAATTTCGAAGCAAATCGAATATGTTCAAATATTCTAAACGAATTGACTACGAATAAAAAATATGAGTTTGTTTACAAATTGAATACGAATTTGAATGATAGAATATTTTAACGAATCTGAATCGAATATCTTAATATTCGTTTTGATTTGATTCATTTACAACCCTATGCGTTGGTATATATGAGAAAAAATTCGAATAATTGTTAACATTAATCTTTTTTTTTTTTAAAATTGGATATGTAATTTTATATTTTTTTTTTGAAATTGGACATGTAATCTTTTTTTTTTAAAAAAAAAATTGGACATGTAATCTTTAGATTGCATATAATTTGGTGAGTTGTGGGGGTACAAAAGAAATATTATGATAAACTCTTGAGGGAGAGCTTTGCCGCCCTTGTGGTCCTACCCGGCTCGATTCCGGATTAGTCGGTTATCCTGTGGACCCAAAAACCGGAAGGTCCCTGTACCATGTCAGCAGGCATGGCCTGAAATTGAGTCCGGTGCATATAATTGCCAATAAATAAAAGTGGTGTGTATATTTGTCAAGTTTAAAAGTGGTGCATAAAATTGCAATTTGCGAAAATGTCATGATTTTATTAGCAATTAAGCCTTTATTTTACAATAAGAATTTCATATTTTTCACTTTTTCTTGCACACTACTTTTTTTTTTCATAAAACACCCACTTTTTATAAAACACACGTGTAGTTCATGAGCGTTAGTACTAGTTTATAAAAACACCCGTATAGTTCATGAGTGTTGTACTAGTTTAATAATACTAATAAACAATATAAAGTCACAACAACACGAGGAGATTAACTCACACCAAGTTTTTAATATAAATTACCAAGAAAACAAAGAGAATTAAACACAGAAATATAAATTACCAAGAAAACAAGAGTATTAAAAACAGAAATGGTTAGCATATAAATAAGCTAATGTGGTTGGGTACTAGCGGCTCCAGCTGCTGTTTGGCGTAAACCTTTGCTATTTCAGCCCGTTTTATTTGTTGAGGAAGAAGTGGATCGTAGGCCAAACGAAGCTGACATTGAGTATCAACAATGATTTCCTTGAGCGCGATACAGTTCTCCAACAAGTAGTTGACCAATTCAACGTCACTCGGGCAACCATAATAACCTAAAAACCGAAAAACATTCAGGTGCTGGTGTAGTGGGAAGTGCTTTAATCCCTTCTGAATTTCGTTGTTCGACATTTCAGCATTAAACCACGATTGCTGCCCATACAAGTGAATAAAATATATTCAGTACATATAATAACACATTTAATATTATAAGTAAAATATACAAGTAGTAAAGCCATTCAGTACATATAATAACACATATAATATTATACATAAAATATACTTGTAGTAAAGCCATTCAGTTCAATGATGACGAGACAGTAGGGATATTATTTACAAAGATGTTTGGGATAGACCAACCTTTAACTCAAATTCTTGCAGGTTGGGAGATGCACTGATAAAATGAGCTAGGCCAAGAAGACTCGAGTCCACACGACCTAAACTTTCCATGATAACCAACTTCTTAAGTTTAGGCATCACCGGGAATTTGATCATCGATAGAAGCCCCTCCAATATAACAAATAAACAAAGATATCAATTGGTTAGTAGTTGCTCCAGTATAAAGTTTTATATTTACTTTACAAGCACTAAGCTTCATTAAGTGAAAAATGAACCAATGTAGAAAGACACCTTACCTTGTGACAATAAATGTTCAAGGTGAGAATCTCCAATTGGGAAAGACGGCAACGTAATGTAGAAATTAATCTCTTTGCATACATAGAATGACACAAAGAGTCCCTATGGGCCACATAAACACTAGTAAGCATTGGAACATCCTCAAGCAAGAGGCCTTCTATTTTATCAAGGACAAGTGAAGTTAGATTCGGAGCAGAAATTCTCAAGGACTTTAAACAAACGCAGTGCCATATCTCCAAATGCTTCAATACAAGGGATGGTCCACAAACTTCAAGACGTGTCAAATTATCAGAGGAACGGACAATTAACTGCTCGAGCAACGGGCAGCCACGTAAGAGAAACTCAATAGTTTCACCAGAGACTTCAATACTGCCCAAGTGCAACATTTTTAGGGACTTACAGTTGAAAAGTCTACTAGATTTTCCACATAACTCTTGAGGAAACACGTACGATTCATCTGGAGACTGATCACAACTACCGTCAGAAAGGTTCAACTCCAACTTTTCGGTGTGCCTCTCAAAAGCAAATTCAAGCCACTTCGTAATTGACTTGCTTGCTGATTTGACTAAACTAAAGCATATTCTTAATTCTTTCACGGTGGACCCTCGGTGTGATTGGAGAACCGAATCCACCCACTTTACATACTTTTCCCCCTCAACACTCCAACAGTCTGGCTCCAGCATAACCTTCTCCATCGAGCTATAGTCAGCAAAGTTGAGATGTGAGGTGTAACTCCACAGGTTTCTCCAACGAGAAGAAAGAACACTTGTTCGCCCAGCTTCCTTCAATGGGAGGAAAGATAGGATAGCAAGGAGAATGTCATCGGGTAATCGACTTATAAGATTATCACCATGGTATCTCTCAACACACTGCCAAGCAAACACACGATAAACCATTAAGAATGCAATAATCAACAAGTTGCATGTTATTTTTCACATTAAGAGCTTCAACACATTTAACCAAAATAGAGTTTTCAACAGTAGGACTATCTTCTATACTAGTGTTAATACCCGTGTGATGCACGATGTGCAATACAAAATTATTTAAGAGTATGAAATTATATTCTCCACAATATTATTTAGTAGTCATGTGACATTTATTTATTTACTATTATTGTATAAGATCATATTATATTTACATACAAATTACTTGGTATATAGTTATAAAATTGTCGTTTATCACAGTCTTATAATTTTTTCAACAATTATAATTTGCACATTGCTTGATAATTGACCAATTTATCTTCTGCTATAATTATTAAGTGTTTGGTAAATAAATTTTAATTTTTAATAACTTTAATCCTTATTACACAAATAGAGAAAAAAAAGGTGAATAAGTTGTATCGAAATTCAAACAAGTTTTGGAATAATGTTATTAAAATTATAAATAATAGCTATGAATTATGATCTTATTCTTTTCTTTCTGAAATCTATATAAAAATTGTGAAATTCATATGTTGAATTATTAATCTTATTTTGTTCTTTCTGAAATTCATACTAACAAAATTGTATTAACAAAATCTAAAATAATTAAATGATTTGAATCAAGAAGAAAAAAAAAAAAGAAGTCCAAAATTTACCTCTTGCAAGCCCAGATTTATCATCTCCATGTCCTTCTGAAGATTTGAGCAGATCTAGATTGGTTTTCAGCAGATCTACCTTCTTATTTATATAAGAAATCCTCTTATATATGAAGAAAGCTTGTTACTCTACCGGCTTCAAAGATGCGAAGTTAAAAAAAAACACGATCAGTTGCATCCCCAGAATGCACTACGACCCATCCAGTATATATAATTCTCGAATGCACTGAGCCCTTTTGGTGCTTGGAATTTTACTTGGCAAAGAATCATGCTCCGTAATTAAGTTTGGACAAATAATATCGATATATTAATAATTAATAATCTAGGTTCGGTCATCTATCTATCTATATCTATATCTATATCTATACTACTTTAAAAGGAGGAGTGTTTTTGTAAAAATTCATAATGCCTAAAAAAAACCTTACTTTGACATAAATTTTATGACAAATTAGTAATACACTAATACACATCATATTTTATTTATATTTTCAATTAAAAATGAACTACCTAAAAAATCCTTACTTTTACATATTTTCAATGGCAAATTGGTAATATACTAATGCCATTAGATCTTATATTATTAATTACTAGCTAATATCAATTAATTAAATGCAAATACATGAACAACTCATCCACACTCCTAAAATAAAATTGTTTTCTTCCACATATCTTTAAAACTGTTTGATATAGAAACATTATTTTCAAAATAACCTATAAAAAATGTGTGATAGTATGCGAAATTAATTGTTGAAAACACTTGTAAAACTAGAAATCAATATTGTTTTTCTCATAACAACCACAGTATATTGAAACATTATTTTGAAAATAACCTATAAAAAATGTGTAATAGTATGCGAGATTAATTGTTGAATGATTCTTCTGCAACATAAACTTTTAATCTATTCAATTTCTTTACTACATAAGATTAGAACAATTTTATGAAATTGTATAATATTAAAACTGTATCAATTTGTTTTCATGTCTAATGAGAAACCACTTTAGCAATATGGATTAATTTTGACCATATAATTATCTACAAAATAATTAAAAATATCTCGAGAATCATGATATGCCTACATGTTGAAAATTAATTACTTTTTTATCAAAAAATCATATTCATATAGTATCATTAGTCATTTATTTATTTATATGTGTTATTACAATAAAATGGTTTTTTAAAAAAATATACGAAATAAAAAAATTATATATTTCAGTATAAATGAGGAAGATTATAATTATATATAAAATAATATAAAAGTATTTAATTTATAAATGGTTTTTTATATGTAAAATTAATTTCTAAATGATATTTTATTTGTATATCTGTCATTGTAAAATTGCATTGACTATTTCAACAGAGATCAAATTACATTATTTATTCTTGTGTAATATAATTATTTCAATTTTCATTATTTATTATTGCATAAGAACTAAAAGGTTCACGTGTTTAATATATTTTTAATATAAAATTATAAACACAATTACTCAATAAATACTACATAAAAAATAATGTTTGAGAGGACTACAAAAATTGCTATACTGCAATGAAAAACTCAACGGTAAGGTATTCTACTGAAAATTCCCACTAATATATTGCTTTCATTGGAAATTTCATTTGACTATTCCATTAGTGTTGAAATTAAATTACATGAACTTTAGTGGATTCAAAGATTTCAATTACATTAATTTCTATTGGAATTTTTTTTTACTATATTTCAATTATTGAAAAAATTGTCATTGGTATTATGCAAAAATTCAATAGAAGTTCCATTGGAAAGATAATTGCAGTGGTAGATCCAAAATAATTTCATATTTAGAGCATTATTTAGTTAATAGAAAAAAATATACCATCAAAATAACATGTCATTGCAATTTATAAATTATACTTTACATAATCTATCACATTTCTCATTTGTAATACATTTTAATAAATCTATGCAATCACAATAAGGTAAAATATATTAAGAAACCAAAAGTCAAGATTTTTCTTAAATCAACATAAGAAAATCGTTATATTTGTTGTATTTTTCGTTGGAATTTTTTCATTTTCTTGTAGTAAAACTAGGACTCCAAATCTATAAAAAAAAATACATTATATATAATATTGTGTGCAACTATTATTATGAAAATTTTTGATACGATAGAAAATATAACACATTCAATGTAATTGGCATTCAATTTATGATAAGAAGTAATTTTTTTCAAAACAAACAAGATACTTTGAAAGATCCTTAATTATTTAATTAGTATTATAATAACTAAATAAGGGGTAAGAATGATGACAAAACTTATATCTCTCACTAAAACCAAAAGTAACAATGCTGATAAAAGTACTTAATGTACAATATCAATTGAAGCTGGCTAATGAGAAATATAAAATATACTTAAGATACACATATATTTTAACTAAAACTTTTAAGTATGTATATATATATGTATATATATATTCATATGTATATTTCATTAAAAGTGGGTATGTTAATCTTAAATTTTTTTAGTTAAGATTTTTATTACTTTCTATCATTAAATTTTTTAATTTTAAAATACTTCATATTTTTTATTTTTTACCTTTTTATATGTAATATATCACATCATTTATTTTCAATGATGTTTGAGTTGACCCATATATTGCAATAACATAAAAATAATATAATTATTTATATTGATATAAAATAATATATATATATATATCAGTACTAATTTAAAATAATAAATTGGTGTTAAAGTATATAATGTAATAAATTTTATATTCAAGTTAAATCAATTTTATTAAGTAAAAAATAACATAAGATAAACTTGTGGTATGTTTTCATACATAAATTTGAAACAATTCATATTAAAAAAAAAAAAAAAAAAGTAAAAAAATGAGTGTAAACTTCTAACTGTTCCCACGTTTTGGCTAGAGCGACCAAATCCGATACATGTTTGACACGAGTTTGTCGTAATGCTGCAGCATCAGCATTACCTTCCTTCATTAGCAGACAACCTCTCTTGTTGTGGCCTTCCACATGGCAAAAAGTGCACTTCAACCCTGTTTGCTGCCTTTTGATAGTATGTGCTGGAGTCACAACTCTAGGTTTAACCCTTTTTTTTCTACTTTTTTTCGGTTGAACCTCATCAGGCTCCATTCTCCTCACCATAGTGGGCCTACCAAGTGCTCTACCATCATTAGGTGGCAATGGAGGGGCATATCATGTCTTTCTCCATTCTTTTCTGCCATTGATGGGCATTGTGGCTGGTGCATACACTTTTTATAGGTCTGTGTCTTGTAGCATGGATGTATGAAATCATCAATGTTTCAGCCTTGAAAATGAACAACACTTACTGCATGGATACAAGGAATTCCACTCAGTTGCCACCTCCTACAACCACAAGTCTTGTTTTCCAAATCCACTTTAAACTGATCACCATTGAACACCTGAATTTGGAAATTGAAGTCATTGGACTTCAATGGGATACAGTCAACCAAGTTTTCAATGTCGTTATCAATTATCTCCCTCACCTTAGGACAAAATACAAAATCCCATTTTTCTGCCTTGTCTCTGTTTAACTGCAATCTTTTCATCAAGTAACTCATGATCCACTCAAGCATTGATAAGATGGGCATGCTTCTAGCTTCTAAAATGTTGCAGTTGAATGTTTCACAACCATTATTTAGCAACATGTCACACTTGGGAAACTCACTAAAATGAGACCTGCTCCATTGATGAGGTGGTTTGTCACTTAACTAGTCATAAGCACTATCTTCCAACTCTTTTAGTGCATCCATTTTCCTTGAAAAATCATTGACTGTAGTTGTTGTAGCTGCTCTCCAAAGTGCATTCTTAAACCCAATCCCTCTATAACCTGCATTTATGAAGTTGCCCAAAAGGTGCCTTACACAGAACCTGTGATCTGAGTTAGGCAACACTTGTTGAAAGGCTTGAATCAGTCCTTTCTGTTTATCAGAAATAAATGTCCACTCATGTTGCTTTTCAATCTCAAGGTCCAATTTCAACAACAAAATGAACCACTCCCAGTTATCTCTATTTTCCTTTTCAACAATAACATAAACAAGGAATTGTTAGGATCTACTGCAACAGCACATAGTAGCACTCCCTTGTTGGGGCCTTTCAAGTGACAGCCATCCACTCCAATGATGGGTCTGCAACCAGCTTTAAATCCAACTTTCAGTGCATTCAAGCAAATGTAGAACCTGTCAAAGTAGTTTTCCCCACTACTATCATCATTACCCAATATCAATGTGCTCCCTGGATTAGTCCTTTTTATTTCATCACAATAATCCCAAAGAAGAGCATACTGGTCATTATGAGAACCAGTCTTTTCAGCAAGTGCTGCCATTTTTGCCCTATATGCTTGTGCTCTGGAGAATGTCACTCTAAGCTCCCTCACTTTACTGTCTCTAAAACCCTTAACCTTTCTGTCAGGATCAGATTGCAGCTCATGAGCATATCCACCAGCAAGCCATCTTGAGGTAATATTTTTAACCTTTGCTATGGCAGCACAAGTATGAGTAGGAGTATACTTTATCACTTGCCAGGCCTCCTCTCCTTTGATCTTAGTAGCATGCAGCTTCCAATTACAAGCAGAATCAACACATTTAGCATGGACATACTTTCTATCTCTTCTTGACAATTTCACACTTCTTTTGCATTTGATGGCATTTGACTGAATTGTTGTCCTCAGTTCACCTTTGGTACTCAAAACCAAACCTACCCTGAAAGTAGGATCATATAACTCTGCAGTGTGGAAAATAGGGTACTGGCGACTTGGATCCTTTCCTTCAGAACTGTCATCACTGTGCAAATCATCACAATAGACCACATCAGTGTCAGCTTCAACTGAGATGCCATCATTTACATTTTGTCTAACACCTTCCTTCTGACCATCCAACCATTCAGCATCAAAGTCAACATTATCATCAAACATCTTGTCATCTTCCATATCATACTCCCAATCCACAATATCAGCATAACTCTCCTCACTCTCCCCACCAACCCCACCATCACTCTCAAACCCACCCTCAGGCTCAACCCCACCATTCTCAGCCATCATATCAGCATACTCATCCACAATCTTATCTAAATCTTCATCACTCTCCCCAGCCTCATCCTCAACCTCAGCCCCATGATCACCCTTATCAACCTCACCCTCACCCTTCTCACCCTCACCTCACCCTTCTCACCCTCACCCTTCTCACCCTCATCAGTCTCAGCCCACACCTCACCCTCAATTTCATCCACATTTTCATCAAACAAGATGTCATCCAACTTGTCAACTTCACTATCATTATCCCCCTCAAAAGTCTCATCATTATCATCTTCATCAACCTCCTTTCCAACTTCATTTTCATTCACAACTTCTGCATTTTGAGTAACAACTTCTGCATCTTGAGTAACAACTTCTGCATCTTGAGTGTTTGTTCCATTTTTGTGTCTTTATTTTCGCTTTATTTTCTCTTTATTTTTCCC